TCCCCAAGTCAGCCGTTGCTGAAACTGACCAGCGCTGACTACAGGAAGCCCGAGGCACAGTTGCTCTGCCCCAGGCTTCCTGGAATCAGCTGCTGATCAGTTTCAGTCAGTTTCAGCAGCAGCTGACTTGGGGTTCTTAAGTTGAATCTGTATGTAAGTCAGAACTGGCGGTCAGTTTCAGCAGCGGCTGAATCTGGACGCCAGTTCCGACTTACATACAGATTCAACTTAAGAACAAACCTACAGTCCCTATCTTGTACGTGACCCGGGGACTGCCTGTACCTCTATTCAGCTTTCTAAATAGCAAGTTAATAGCTGCAGCAGCAAAATTGAAAACCCAGATCCAACCAGGAGACTGAGTGCAACTGTCCTGGGAGAAAGAAGAGAAAAAACAGCTGGAGACGGTAGTCAGAGCAAGAAGAAATGGAGTAGGAAAAGCATCTGAAGGGAGAAGGGGAGGAAGGGGGGAGAAGGGGCAGAGCAAGCAAAAGGCAGAAAAAAACTATAGCTGATGCAGGAAGAAAGATTTTGTATAGAAAGCTGTAGTTCTCACATTCTAAAGACCATAACAAATTCAACCTCATCTCCTTATGAGGTCAGTGTATAATGAATTTATGCACATCAGTCAATATTTTAACATACTGTAGAATACATTTAAATGTTAATACTTGCATGAGTAAAGAGGCATGTGTTTTTGGGAATGGAGTCCATGTGTTTATATGGGACCCTACTCTGAATGTTTGCATTCCACAGTCATTAGCAGATTCTTTCCCACTACCCAAACTTTCCATGAATTGCAAACATTTCTCAGCTATAGACTTTGGAGAAGAGCAGCATTGGAAACTAAAGTAAAATCCCATGTTTCCATACATCCTATCTACAAAAAGGGGAATTACACATGATTTTGTTGCAAATCCCAGCATTTAAGTGATGATGTAGAAACCTAAATGAGCTAGATATGAATTATCTCAAGTAGAAATTTGAGAAAACCTTCAAAACTCTGGCAGCTGTCGCTTCGTTATCCAGGCCTGGCCTGTAATTGTTTGACAGGAAACAGCAACTTGTGAGAAATATCCAGCATGATTCTTCACAAGTCTGACCAATCAATGGACCTTTTGCTGCCAAGACAAATAGACCCATATAATTTATTACTGAATTATTTTACTCTGATAAAAATAATTTGTAATTGCTGACTTTTCCACAAAGGGACCCCAGGCTTCTCAAAGACAGTAAGCTACAGAAATAGTCCTTAGCATCCCCACCTGAAATAGAACAGAACAAAACAACCGTAGGAACAGTGTACTAGGCCCAAGTTCTCACTCACTGGGCACAGGTAAGTAAGGAAGCGCCAATCCCCCTGCCGCATAAACCCAGCAAGAAGATTCTGCCGAGTTAGGGCTATTGCCTGCTGAAGCATTAGGCTTCCCCATCCCATTGAAGGCAATAAATAAATAAATTTATTTATTTCCTTCCTTCCTTCCCTAGGAGATACAACACACACACAAAGCCAGTTCCCAAGGTACCAGCCTGTAATTTCTACACTTTGGTCTGACACTGGCTGTGGGCAGAAGGATTTGTGCGAGTTTTTCCTGTCTGCCTCCACATGCTCCTTGTGGCTGCTTTCTCCACCAGGGCTGTGTCCAGACTCAGGGTTTTTTTCGGGAAAAGTAGCCTTTTTCCGAAAAAACTTCACCTGCGTCTAGACTGCAGCCGCGTTCTTTCGAAATTAAATCGAAAGAATGCGGCTTTTCTTTCGACGGTGGTAAACCTAATTCCACGAGGAAGAACGCCTTCTTTCAAAAGTGCTCTTTCGAAAGAAGGCGTTCTTGAAAGCAAACAGGCTTTTTAGAAAGAGAGCATCCAGACTCACTGGGTGCTTTCTTTCGAAAAAGCGGCTTGCTTTTTCGAAATTCCGCGTGCAGTCTAGACGCTCTCTTTTGAAAGAGGCTCTTTCGAAAGTATCTTTCTAAAGAGCCTCTTTCGAAAGAGGCTTGCAGTCTAGACATAGCCCAGGGTATTTGTGATTTATTATAGCTGAAAACTGGAATAAATCCCATGGGAGTTGTATGTACTAACTAAATGAGTGACGGAAAATGTCAGATGGCGAGAAATACTTAAGAGTATACATGTCCCATTGCCTCCCTTCCTTTGTTTTTCCATTCCCTGCAAAAGCTGTGGAAAAATAGACATTTTTCTTACAAATAAGTTTGGAACATTTTGTATCTCAGTCGGAATTTAGTCTGCTATTTATTTTATCCCACATTTTGTTATTACCTAGTTTTCCAGTCACTAAAAAAAAAACCCACAACACGAGAAAACTGAGCATTATCCAAAGTGCTGTAATAGCTCTCTCTCCTTTTTACAGACACACACATCTATGCATGACCCCAGAGTGGAAATATTACAAGATAGGTTGTTCATTCCAGTCTGCACTGATGTAGGAAGTACTTGGAATCTTGCAAACATATTTCCAGTTTGCTCGTTTTGCTCAATCCTGAGCTTAATTTTGCATACGCAGGAAATGTGTTTACTTCTTCGGATAAGTGCACAAACTGAACCAAACTTTTGAGGTCCTCCAATCACTAAAAAAAAGCTAATTTACAGCAGTTTCAATAATAGTGTCCTACAGAAAGTGATGCCTAAAGAAGATGGCATGTGCAAATGTAAAAGCCATTGAGCATTAGCACCCTCTGTGTATGTAAAATTCCTTGTATTCTTTCCTCTTAATCTCAGGAAATGATACATGAAAGGTGACAAATACCATTCTGATCTGAAATGCATGGTGTACATTATAATCCACATAGGAGAGGGGACTGCATTGCACATTACCTTAGGGTAAAAACACACTATAAAAATGTATAGCACATATAATCAATAAACAATCTGAAAAGCAGCTGTAGGCCTGAAATGTCTGGGGATGTTATAATACCTGTGTAGGAGTGCTGAATTGACAGCACTGGGGAATGAGGCTCTCTATCCAAAACTAAGGACAGCAGAATGTGCTATAATAGCAGCTTCCTCACACTGAACTACTTTTGAACCTCTATCTTAATGGGCAGAGAGCACCTTCCAGGGGCCAGTTTAGTCTCTTCCCTTCCCACTCTCAGCTGCCAGTTCAAATCAAACCCTAGTAACTACAGGCTGTTTGTACCCTCTGTTGAGTCTTATATGAAATGAGTTAGCAGTTTCAGTCCACTCCCAGTACACACCACTAAAACCACCTCCAGACATGGGGTTTTATATAAATCTGAATGCGAGTTAAACTAGTCTAGTCTAAAGGCCAAAAAACTAGCCTGCTCACAGCGAGAGTGTCGATCATGCTTGCGGTGGGCTCAGGGATGAATGGCAATGACCAAAGGAAAGATTCCATTTTGTCTTCCTCCACTTCTTTTGCAACAATAATTTCTTTCATCAGGACAACACAGGCCTCTGTAGCACAGGATGGGAGAGCATCTACTAATGGCTGCCTGAAACATAACAGAAAAGCATCAAAACATAACAAATGGAAATACCTAACAGTCAAGGAATATTTGCCTTCTGTCTTCCTGGGACTCTGTGGGTTTTTATTTCCTTCTAAGCATCCTAACAAACTCAGGGCCAGATCCTGACTCTACAAAAGTTCAGGTTTGGCATGGATTTCAATGGGTGCATCTTCCCAGGCCAAGAAATTTAAATTTGACTAATAATTCTGGGCATCCCAAGTTTTTGTGCCTCCTCAAGGGATTTGATTTTCAAGAAAGGACACACTGTCCCTCTCTCAAAAACAGGTCCCTCTAAGATGTCTCAAATTGGGCACCTAAAGACTGAAATGTCTCAAATCATTAGTCTGTGGTTCAAAATTGCATCACTTGGAAAGAAGTTTATAACTAAAGTGAAAAAGGCATTTGTGTAGTAGAAGAAGAATGTCCACACAGCGAGTTATCCTGGTGTAGCTAGACTTTCCCACATAGATAAGGCCGGAGATTACAGTGGGCAAAAGATGAGGTACAGTTATGATTTTTCTGTGAAGAGTAATGTAGCTATTTGTCAGCAAGAGTGAAATTAAGTGATTTAAGGTTTTTCTTATAACTAATGTAGCATTAATGTCAATTTTCCAATTTTATATCAAGTGAAATCAAGTGAACCATTGTCACAAATCCAGAAGAGCTATTTGGAAAATTTAGTTTTGTTTAAATGAAGCTAGATAATAAGTTGGCCTGAAAGCACATTAACTGCCTGTTTCTTGTATTTACTAGGAAAGCCCACACTGTTGGAAAAGGAAGAAAAAACAAGATTATAGGCCTGATCCCACTCTTACTCAAGTTAAAAAGACAAATTTTTTGACCTCAACAGTATAATACTGAGCTTTAACAAAGACCCAAACCCTCAGATTTGAACCATCCCCAATATCAGAGATGTTTGGATCTTGATCTAAATGCTGTGGTTGAGGCCTAACTCTAGATTATACCAAGGAAATAGTTTCCATCTAAGTTTCTTCATGCAAAACCGGGGAAGCATTTTCAACCAAATTTTTGTGGACAATGGTTGAGGCTTTTTTATTCAGTTTTGGAAAGGCTGGAAAAGGAGTTTTGACCGTCCGTGTACAAAGTCAGCATTGTTGGTGAAAGGACATTCCGTTAGGAAGGATATAATTTTGGGTTGGATCAATTAAGAACAGACCAAAACTTTTGCCAAAAAGATCCCAAAAGTTCTGTTCACTTTTAAAATTAATTTTTCACTTTCCTTTGCTATTCTCATGGTATTTCTGATAAGATTGAAGGAAGGAAGTGGCAGAAATTCCATAAGAAAACTTTTTTTAAAGTAAAATCTCCACTAAACCAATTTTACAACCTCAGAAGGTTTGATCATGTTGGGTTAAGCATCTGTTTGGTACTTACCATGCATTAGACCAGGCCTCAGAATGTTTTAATGCTCCCATAACAATAGTAATTTGACAATGTCCAGGTATTCCTGATTTCACCAAGATAGAATTCTCCTTGCTTTAAAGAATTATTTCTTATATCTATAGTTACCATATGAATAATTTCCAGAACATTTAATTTATACTAACTGAAGTGGAATGCAAGATGGACAAGATGCATAAAAATTGAACCAAAATGATTTATTTGGTCTTGCAAAAATGTCAAGACTGATCCAATGTTTTAGAAGCACAACACACAGAGAACTAAACAAAAACAGCTGGACTTCCAGAGTGCAGAGAAATCCTCAAACACACACAGAAAAGTCACATCCTACACTCCAACAGTTATTGTTTCCTGCACAGATGGCCCTGTTAACCTGGGGACCAACCATCAAAGGATGCATCACAAATTGATCAGCTTTGGTGAACATCAGTCAAGATTTGTTTCTCTAATTAAGCACATCAGGAGCAGCTGACACTTCTAATTTATTCCACATTGGAAAGTTCACTATATCCCCAGTGGGATTTTCCCTACCGGGATTTTCTATATTTTTTCCCATTATGGTAGGTGACTAGCAACATAAATCTTGATTTATATCAAAGAGGGTGGATACATGATCTGAGCTTCTTCCCTTTGGTATTGTTCCTGAAATGGCTGTCACATCACCTTGTAACAGACCTTCCCTGCCCTGAAGCACTTACAGTCTAAACAAATAAGCCACAAAGAATGGGAGAAGAGGAAGTATTGTTATCCCTGTTTTACAGATGGGGAAATAGAGCCCAGGGACTTGACTAAGGAGTCCAGGAAGACTGTAGAAAAGCTGGTCAGAGAACTCAGACCTCCTGAGACTTAATCCAAAATCTTAAATACAAGACCATTGATCCCATCTGAAAGCACATCTCAAAACACATAACTGACCCACAGCAGGGCTTTCCCACTTACGGTCTGAGAAGCTTATTTCAAATAGTAGCCAGAAGATTCCTTTTACTTGGAGAGCAATACAAGTCTTCTTGTGCACTTACCACTGTATTCTACCAAAGAAATCACCTGGCTTTGTGGGAAGTGGGTCCTGGAATTGCTTGAATACCTTCTGATGCCTGCCTTGGATAGTTATCGAGATGCATGCGTGAAGGGGGACATCATTTTCTGTCACTACTGTGAGAGCCCCATAGTACAGCAGAGCAGAACTTCACACTACTATTTTGGCATAGGATACAATCAAAATAAAGGGAAAGGACATACATTTGTCCACCATAAAAGAATACAGCTAATAACCATGAAATGGGTCTTACCAGTTGTCCCTGCATTTAAATGAAGATCTGCGCCAAAGGCCTATTAAAGCCTCAGCAGAGAGACTTCGAAGCTCAAACACCAGAGTCATGAAGAGGTCTGCAGTCTAGAAATAAAGGAGGTCAGTACAGGTTACATAGGAGTCAAGAGGAAGCATGGCTTGGTGTGCAGGACACTAGACTAGGACTTAGCTCAGCCAGGCTACAGGATCTTGCACAAAAGGGTTTTTTTTTTTTTCAACAAATGGCCCCATCTACATGGGGCTTTTTAATGGCAAAACCTCTTCTGCAAAAAGGATTGGAAGAGGATATGCAAATGAAAGTGCAACATATGCTAATGAATGCTTCATTTGCATATCTTCTGCCGAAAAAAACCTGTAGTGTAGACATAGCCCCACTGAGCCTGCAGTGTATCACAGAATCATAGAATACTAGTACTGGAAGGGACCTTGAGAGGTCATCGAGTCCAGCCCTCTGCCCTCATGGCAGGACCAAATACTGTCTAGACCATCCCTGAAAGACATTTATCTAACTTATTCTTAAATATCTCCAAAGATGGGGATTCCACAACCTCCCTGGGCAATTTATTCCAGTGTTTGACTACCCTGACAGTTAGGAACTTTTTCCTAATGTCCAACCTAAACCTCCTTTGCTGCAGTTTAAGTCCATTGCTTCTTGTTCTATCCTCAGAGGCCAAGATGAACAAGTTTTCTCCCTCCTCCTTATGACACCCTTTTAGATACCTGAAAACTGGTATCATAGCCCCCCCTCAATCTTCTCTTTTCTAAACTAAACAAACCCAATTCTTTCAGCCTTCCTTCATAGGTCATGTACTCTAGACCTTTCATCATTCTTCTTGCTCTTCTCTGGACCCTCTCCAATTTCTCCACATCTTTCTTGAAATGCGGTGCCCAGAACTGGACACAGTACTCTAACTGAGGCCTACCCAGCTCAGAGTAGAGCAGAAAAATGACTTCTCGTGTCTTGCTCACAACACCATCCTAAAATCATGTTGGCTTTTCTTGTAACAGCGTCACACTGTTGACTCATATTTGACTACAACCCCTAGATCACTTTCTGCCATACTCCTTCCTAGACAGTCGCTTACCATTCTGAAACTGGTTGTTCCTTCCTAAGTGGAACACTTTGCATTTGTCCTTCTTAAACTTCATCCTGTTTACCTCAGACCATTTCTCCAATTTGTCCAGATCATTTTAAATTAGGACCCTGTCCTCCAAAGCAGTTGCAACCCCTCCCAGCTTGGTATCATCTGCAAACTGAATAAGCATACTCTGTATGCCGATATCTAAATCGTTGATGAAGATATTGAACTGAGCTGGTTACAAAACAGACCCCTGAGGAACCCCACTTGTTACACCTTTCCAGCAGGATTGTGAACCGTTAATAACTACTCTCTGAGTTATGCACCCACCTTATAGTAGCCCCATCTAAATTGTATTTGCCTAGTTTATTGATAAGCATATCATGTGAGACTGTATCAAACGCCTTACTAAAGTATAGGTATACCACATCCACCTCTTCCCCTTTATTCACAAGACTCATTATCCTATCAAAGAAAGCTATCAGATTGGTTTGACATGATTTGTTCTTTATAAATCCATGCTGGCTGTTCCCTATCACCTTGCCACCTTCCAAGTGTTTACAGATTATTTCCTTAATTACTTGCTCCATTATCTTCCCTGGCACAGAAGTTAAACTAACTGGTCTGTAGTTTCCTGGGTTGTTCTTATTCCTCTTTTTATAAATGGGCACTATATTTGCCCTTTTCCAGTCTTCTGGAATCTCTTCTGTCTCCCATGATTTTCCAAAGATGATAGCTAGAGGCTCAGATACCCCCTCTATCCGCTCCTTGAGTATTCTAGGATGCATTTCATCAGGCCCTGGTGACTTGCAGGCATCTAACTTTTCTAAGTGATTTTTAACTTGTTCTTTTTTTATTTTATCTTCTAAACCTACCCCTTTCCCACTAGCATTCACTATGTTAGGCATTCCTTCACACTTCTCGGTGAAGACCGAAACAAAGAAGTCATTAAGCATCTCTGCTATTTCCAAGTTTCCTGTTACTGTTTCTCCCTCCTCACTGACCTGTGGGCCTACCCTGTCCTTGGTCTTCCTCTTGCTTCTAATATATTTATAAAAGTCTTCTCATTTCCCTTTATTCCCGTAGCTAGTTTGAGCTCATTTTGTGCCTTTGCCTTTCTAATCTTGCCCCTGCATTCCTGTGTTGTTTGTCTATATTCATCCTTTGTAATTTGTCCTACTTTCCATTTTTTATATGACTCCTTTTTTATTTTTAGATCATGCAAGATCTCGTGGTTAAGCCAAGGCGGTCTTTTGCCATATTTTCTATCTTTCCGACACAGCGGAATAGCTTGCTTTTGGGTCCTTAATAACGTCCCTTTGAAAAACTGCCAACTCTCCTCAGTTGTTTTTCCCCTCGGTCTTGATTCCCATGGGACCTTGCCTATCAGCTCTCTGAGCTTACCAAAATCTGCCTTCCTGAAATCCATTGTCTCTATTTTGCTGTTCTCCTGTAATCTTTGGCCTCCCCTGTTCTCTGTGTTTCTGACTCCCCTCGTACTCCCATCTATCTTTTTGTTTAGATAGTGGTTCCCAAACTTTTTGGCATCATGCCCCCCTTTTTTGAAAAACCCTCACATACACACCGCAAAATAGCAGCAAAACTTGAACAAAAAAAAAAAAAAGGAAAAAAAGAACTGAACAAGGCAGCAAAACTTGATGGGGGGAGGGAAGCTGAGTCACCTCGTGCCCCCCCTGGAATTTCTTCACACCCCTCTAGGGTTGCACGCCCTGCAGTTTGGGAACCCATGGTTTAGATAGTAGTCTCTTCAGAAAGGAGACAGTCTCTAACTCTGTCTGCGTGCTTCCTACCACAGTGGGGTGCCAGTCACAGTTAAGGGCCTTAAGGCATTTCCACAATGCAAATCACTGCCAGTGTTACTGGGTATGATTTGGAGCATGGACCATTCTTTTGTTCTGCGTTTGCATGGCACCTGTTTGCAGTGTTTTGATAGCCATGTTGGTCCGAGGATATTAGAGAGACAAGGTGGGTGAAGTAATATCCTTTATTGGACAAATTTCTGATGGAGACAAGCAGAATCTGAGAGACAAGCTTTCAAGCCACACATAATTCTTACATACAGCACCTATACCTAGTACACAGCTTCTGAATAATGGGGGTGATGCTCCAGGACTGCAGATTCTAGGATCATTGTTGTATGGTTTGTATTGTGGTAAAGTATAGTATCATAGGATACTTCACGTGCTTATTCAAGTCGTCATTTATCTTAGTGACTTATTAAATGAGTTATGTCTCTCTTCTATGAAGTAAGTTAGCAAAACTCTAAGCATTTATTTCATGTCAATTTATTTAAAAATGTTAAAATTTGGGCCTAAATTGAACTTTTAGTATTCATTGCCCCATGAATATATAGCAAGTGGAAACTAATGTTGATTTGGAACTAAATCAAGCTTTCCAGTTCGGAGGAGGCTCTGGAAAGCAAAGTGACCATACTAGACTGTGCAAGTCCACAATACATTAATAAAGAGTGAAAGGCTGCTCTTCCCTAAGCCCCTTTGGATGATGTATACTGCACTTTTGGCACTACCTTTCGCTCTCTAAAGCCTGATGCTGGAAACAAGATTAACTAAACAAGCAGATCTGTTGCAGCTGGCCAGTTTTTGCAGTCAGCTATGCTTTCCAAGAACAATCATAGTATTGTGTATCCAATTATGGGCTCATCTGTTGCTAGTCAGGCCTCTCTTTCCTCGCCAATGGTTTCTTCCCCCAGTCAGGTGCCTCCTTCAGGGTGTGGTAAGTTGTGCTCTGAACAAAACATTTTCTAAATAAAGTTTTTCAGTCCTCTTCATTCCATGTTTACTCCTGATGCAACTTATTTTGGAATCTATCAGTTCATTTTGACCAACTCAACTGTGACATTTTTAAGAAGGAAAAATATGAGAAAAAGCAAATGTTTATCTGTAGTTCTCCTTATCATTTGTGAAACTGGTCCATTTTTTTCTGATGGAACACTTTTCCATCACAAGATACCATATCTTCATAATCAAATCTTTCCAAGGGAACATCTCTATTTTGATTAAATGTACAGCCGCTCCCCGAGTTGCGAACGGTCGAGTTATGACTGTTTGCACTTACGACCAAAGCTCTCATGGAGTGTTCGTAAAGGTGGTCCCCAAGTTACGAACACGACCCGCACTTACAAATAGCACGGTCGCGTGTAACTCAGTGGGGTCCGAGTTACGAACAGCCTGAGTTACGGCCAAGTGTTTGGTCCGTAACTTGTTCGTAACTCGGAGAGAGGCTGTAGGTTAGAAAAGACATCTAAAAATTAAATTTCCTGCAATTTGGAAATTCTGTAAAGCACAGTGCTAAAACGCTGTCCTGAGCTGGGGCACATGGATGGCCATTTTCTATCCTCAAAGATGCTATAGTCAGTGTGAAAGAGATGTGCCCCTTCACCCACACTGTTCTGTCTCTTGGAGGCTTTAGTGTATCTCTTTTTTGCTGTTGCTGTTTCCTTTAATCTAAGAGCTGTGCCGCACTGTCCTTTGAAACGTCGTCACAGAGTTTCAAAGTGGCAGCCCAGGCTCCATGCGGCGCTACCGTTTTGAAGTACTCCCTCTCCCCCCACCCCCAGTCAACTCAAACTATAAGCATCCAATAAGCATTTGCTTATTGGATAATCGACTAGTCAACTAGTCCTTAACATCCTTAATCCCACTAGCTTCAACTACTGGTACTCTCAGGGCCAGATTGACGTGGGGCTTTAGGAGCTGTAGCCCAGGGCCCTGGGCTAAGGGGGACCCTACAAAAATAAATCCGTAATGGTCACCAATTCATTGACCACAATCAGCTGGTCAATCTGGCAGCTTCTGCCAGTCAATAGCAATGTCCAGGCCACCCCTTACCCAGACCTACACCCCAACACTGCCCCAACCGGGGTTCCTTCCTGTATCTAAATTCCCTCCCAGAAAAAAATGACAATAACAGCAGTTCTAAGATACAAATTAGGCCATTTTGAATTAACTGTATTAGACACATATT